GATCATTTACTTGTGTTTTCTATTCTGTATTTGACAATTAGGCTAAAAATTACCTGAGTTTCTTACACTATCACTTTTACAAAAGAAAATTTAAATTACTAAGAAAAATGGAAATTTCTACAAATGATTAGCTTTTGATATTCAAATCATTTCATTTACAAATAAACACTTTATTTTTGGTAAACAGCTTTAATGTTCAATTATTCTGATAACTAATGAAGTATAATTTGATTTTTAAAAAATACATGCTAAGCATTTTACAATAATTAGACATTTATGCAGAGATTAGTGCCACCTGGGAAGCCTGTGGACCTCCAGGGAATTCCCTCAAATATATTTTCAAATTGAAATAAATTATAATTGTTTAGGAATAGCCATTTTAACTTTTGAAATAATTTCAGATGGACAGAAAATACATACAAAGAAAGAAAGTATATACAAACAATCTTGTATACACTTCATGCAAGGGCTTCCCAGGTGGTGCTAGTGGTAAAGAACCTGCCTGTCAATAAATTCAGGAGACACAAGAGACATGGGTTCAATCCCTGGGTTGGGAAGATCCCCTGGAGAAGTCCATGGCAACCCACTCCAGTATTCTTGCCTGGAGAATTCCATGGACAGAGGAGCCTGGCAGGCTATAGTCCATGGGGTCACAAAGAGTCAGACATGACTGAAGTGACTTAGCACACATGAACAAGCCACAGAATCTTAGCTCCCTGACCAGGGATAGAACCTGAGCCCCCTACAGTGGAAGCATGGACTCTTAAACCACTGTCCCTCCAGGAAAGTCCCATCATCTTATATACATTTAAAAAAATTGTGTTTTTCTTTTGTTTTGCAAATTTTTTTCTCTGTATAATAGGCTCCAGTTTCATCCACTTCATTAGAATTGATTCAAATGTGTTCTTTTTAATAGCTGAGTAATATTCCATTGTGTATATGTACCACAACTTTCTTATCCATTCGTCTGCCAATGGATATCTAGGTTACTTCTATGTCTTGGCTATTATAAACAGTGCTGCAATGAACACTGGGGTACACGTGAAGTAAGTCAGAAAGAAAAACACCAATACAGTATACTAATGCATATATATGGAATTTAGAAAGATGGTAACAACAACCCTATATGCGAGATAGCAAAAGAGACACAGATATAAAGAACAGACTTTTGGACTCTGTGGGAGAAGGCGAGGGTGGGATGCTTTGAGAGAATAGCATTGAAATATCTATATTATCATGTGTGAAACAGATCACCAGTCCAAGTTTCATGCATGAAGTAGGGCACTCAAAGCCGGTGCACTAGGACAACCCTGAGAGATTGGATGGGGAGGGAAAAGGGAGAGGGGGTTCTGAATGAGGGACACACGTACACCCATGGCTGATTCATGTCACTGTGTGGCAAAAACTACCACAACATTGTAATTAGCTTCCAATTAAAATAAATAAACTAAAAAATAAATAAATGAGAAAATTTTTAAAGTTCAAAAAAAATTATTTTTCTTGCCCATCATTTATTTTTTAACATTGTTTTCTTTTACAATATAGAATATTTATACATGCACATTAACACACTTATACATACTTGGAAATAAGATATAGTGACACTTAAATATTTTAATTTAATTTTATTTAGCAAATAGAGCATTAAATTATGAATGTATATTTTATATATATATATATACACACACACATATCAGATGATAGCCAAAACTTTATTTTTTTCAAAACTTGAATTCTCTGTATCCAGGAGCAGTTTACTTGGTGATAATAATTAAAATAAATGGCTACCATACAGAATTAAAAGATTCTAAAATGGAAAGCAAATGTCATTTTATTTTTATTTTTTTCTAATATATTTACTTGGATGAGTTGGGTGTATGCAACTAAGCATACACCCTAATCTTGTCAGCAAGATTTCTGAAACCCTTTCTGAAACTTTGCAGAAGAAGAACGCAAAACTGTTATTGCCATAATATAACAAGTCACATATTTCTGACCTGACTACATTGTGTGTTAGTCGCTCAATCAGACACCTTGCAATTGAATGACTGCAGCCCACTCAGCTTCTCTGTCCATGGACTACTCTAGGCAAGAATACTGGAGTGGGTTGCCATTCCCTTCTCCAGGGGATCTTGCATAACCTCTCCCTAATATCCAGGGAGAGGAGCACAGTTCTTGAGGCACTAGCCTACTGTGTTCCTTCTTTGCCTGCCAAAGAAAGCAAGCCTCTATTTCCTTCGCCATAACTCTGTCTCCGTGTTTCTGGTTGGCATCAGTGCACAGAGAGTCAAGATTTTGGCAACAAATTCTTGCTTCCCATTCACATAAATCATTTAAGTCCTGTGAATGTAAAATGCTGTTGGACCCACAATCCAAGAGAGTTCACTGAGATTCAAATTCCCTGGATTCCATGGAGTCGGTAGAATGAGCAAGCATCAAGAAGTAAAATAATACAGAAGTTTCATCAAGAAGTGAAATAAAAACAGGGGTGTTAGTTTTGTTCAGTGTTAGAGTGAGAACAAAATACATAAGCCTGTATGAACTACACAGTATGAACTGTGAAATTTCAGTGATTCTGCGTATAAGCTAAATCTTATGTTTGTATTTAAAACTGGTATTACACAATAGAGTGGTAAATCTCATGCTAATGAGCAAATTAACAATAGTATTAATAATATAATTAGTGGTTAATAATAAAATAGCATGGTTAATAATGCCCTTGATAATAATAGCAAGTTAATGCTATTAGTTAAAACATCATGACAAGTTGAAAGAGATACTACAGAAGAAATGAGACAGCTTATATCTTAGTAGCTTTAATGGCACTTTCCCATTGCATTTTGAACAAGGGACACTGCATTTTCATTTTGTACTGAGCCTCACAAATTACAGAGGCAAGTTCACTCTGGAAATATGGCAGGGGATAAGGCATGCAATCCCTGTTCTGGAACTTACTGTACTTCACAAACCCTACAAGACTTGACTACCTGTGCCTGGAATTGTTCAACATTTAGAGCAAAATTGAGTAAAGAGGCTAGATTACCTTCCAGGTCTATTCAATCCTAACATGACACTATCCACAAAATAAGACTAGACTGCTTTCCTGGTTTTATTATATGATACAAGAAGCTGAGGATTTGATTCCTGGGTCAGGAAGAACCCCTGGTGGAGGAAATGGCAACCCACTCCAGTTTTCTTGCCTGGAAAATCCCATGGACAGAGGAGCCTGGTGCTACACAGTCCGTGGGGTCGCCAAGAGTTGGACTAGAGATCAAGCCAGCTCATTCCGTTTTTTTTTTTAATTAAAAAATTTTTTTTCAGCTCATTCCTTTTTGTAAGTACTTTGGGAAAAACAAGAAACACCAAAACTAAGCTAGTTTGAACTTTTAGCTTTTTAACACAGTAACCATTCAGGAAACAGTGGCTGACTATTTTTCTGGGCTCCAAAATCACTGCAGATGGTGACCGCAGCCATGAAATTAAAAGACGCTTACTCTTTGGAAGGAAAGTTATGAGCAACCTAGACAGCATATTAAAAAGCAGAGACATTACTTTGCCAACAAAGGTCTGTCTGGTCAAGGCTATGGTTTTTCCAGTTGTCATGTATGGATGTGAGAGTTGGACTATAAAGAAAGCTGAGCGCAGAAGAATTGATGCTTTTGAACTGTGGAGATCCAACCAGTCCATCCTAAGGGAGATCAATCCTGGGTGTTCATTGGAAGGACTGCTGTTGAAGCCGAAACTCTCTGATGCGAAGAGCTGACTCATTTGAAAAGACCCTGATGCTGGGAAAGATTGAGGGCAGGAGGAGAAGGGGATGACAGAGGATGAGATGGTTGGATGGCATCACCGACTCGAAACTTCGGGAGTTGGTGATGGACAGGGAGGCCTGGCGTGCTGCGGTTCATGGGGCCGCAAAGAGTCCGATACGACTGTGCGACTGAACCGAACTGAACCGAACCATTCAGGGAACTGAGAAAACGAACAACAAAAATCCGCCGCGGGTGTCTCCTGTGATCTGTTAAGCAACTCCTGGGAGGCTGACCCTTCGTTCAGAGTGAGGGTAGGTAAGAACACAAGTTCGAAAGTGGAGCGGGGAGCTGGGAGTGCTTGCATAACAGAGGCTTCCAGTACAAAGGTTACACATTTTGAGTCACGGTCAAGGTATGATCCTCTCACAATTTAACGGAAAAGCGATTTCTGAAGGCAAAAGTGGACACAACACGACAAAACACACCTGGCCAGAGACACACACTCGCAAATCCCCCACAATACCCGTGGTGACTAACTTCGGACAGTTATAGGAAACCTCAGAAGAGGTGAGGCCACTGGGAGCAAGTCAGGCGGGGTGCCTGTTTCCTTGCAGTTCACGTGCATTCCACCCTCCTGACCCCACAATTTATTCCCGAAACGTTGGCCGAAACGTCCTAAGCGATTCCACTTACCTAGTCGGTTAGAGAAGCCTGCACCAGACTCCTGCTCTCACCTTACTCAACTCCACCTCTCCAGGGTTAGGGCGTCCAGGCTCCGCCCACTGGACTCGGCCCTCCCCTCGCGGGGATAAACATGGCGCCCGCCAGTCGCACCACCTCCCAGCTCTCCCGTTCATCCCGCAGTCCAGTTGTTATCGCGAGACTTCCGCCCCACTATTAGCTTGGGCGCGCCGCGCGCTCACCCTTTTTTCCCCGCGCGGCGGCGGATGCTGGCTGCTGGCTGCTTTTCGGAGTGCTGTGGTTTGTAGGTTGCTGTCCGCAGCAGGAGCCCGTGTCGAGCCGGCGCAGGTTAGTATACGCCATCCGCCTCTGGAGGGGTCGGAAAGAGGACACGGGCGTCCGGGCCTTGCGGGCGACGGAGGGGTCGCTCTTGTGGCTTTTTCCGGGCGCGGCGGGGCGGGGCGCAGACCCGGGAGTTGGGCCCTGATGGCGGGGCCCCCTCGGTGGTTGTGGACTGCAGGCCTAGGGCTGCATTGCGACCGTGGCCCGAGCGTGGCCCGTGAATGTTACAGTGAAGCATAAATAATGCTCATTCTCTAAATGGCGGTTGCTGACGCCATCCTTGTCCGAGATGGGCGCCTGCTGGAGACGCTCGCCCCAGGATCGCGCAAAGCGCCGAGGACGAGTTGTTCGCGGTCGCGTGGTACGGTCAGAGTACCCGACTAGGAAGCAGCACTTGCACAGGATTGCTTTCCAGATTCCGTAAAAGATTGTGTTAACCTTAGTTTTGATAATACGCCCAGGTATTCCATCGCTGTCATTGGATCCACTTTTCGTTTAACTTGTTTTTAAGGGCAGTTACTTCATGGCTTAGATTTTGCAAAGCTTGAGATCTGTGCCCTGTTGTTTTCCTGTATTTGAAATATATCGCTCTTAAAATGCTAAAAACTAAGAACAGTGGGAGAATGATGGCACCCTCTATAAGGGAGGTTGAGAAGTAAAAGACATTATCTTTTAAAAAATTTTGCCCAAAATACTGTATCCACGGAAGTGAAAAAAAGACAACGGACATTGTCGTAGTCTGTAAGCCTTTAATCGAGAATTTGGAGAATTTACAACTTTTAATACCCTAATAGTAAATCTCAGACCGGGAGTTTGGATTGAGGTAGTAAGACCTAATGATTATTTCCCCTGCTATACTGAGGCCACACACAGTAGTTAACTTCCGTTGAACGCTGATACTCTTCATTGTACAGTAATATGGCTAAGGGTTAAAATTAACATTTTTTCCTGTTGGGAAAGTTCCTTGATACTGTTGGAAATTACCTACTCTTCTGGAATCTTATTCCATTGGACAGATGGAGGCAAAACAAACAGAACCCATGAATCAAATCTCTGGGTTTTAGAATTGATCTAAATTTACAGTTAACAACCAGAAAATATTAAAGGCTTCGTAAGTGATGTGGCCTTAATTTACATATTTACATAACTCACAGCTACATCAATATTTGCATTACTCTGATTACTAACTGTTTGGCATTAATTTGTTCAGGGAAACTACACCACATTTACCAGATTTTTTATGGTCAGAAATCTATTGAAAGCAAAAGATAATTTGAGAGGGACTTGGATCAAGAATGGATTCTCTTAACTGTGCAAAGGCATCTGATACAGCTATGGAAACTGAGAATCAGAGGTAAGTGCCTTTAAAAAAAAAAAAAACACATTTTTCCTAGAAAAGAGACTGGATGGTAATATTTACTGTATTTGAATTACTGGGAGGGCATAAATCATCAGTAATGAGTGGTGGTAAATGTAATTTTCAAGAATTGGAACAGAAAAGGAAAACTTGGTATGGACAGGCCTTTGAAGTTTTGAACTATAAGAAGATGGGTATTAGTGAATCTTGCTTTAAAATCAACTTGTTCTCATTAATTCATGTTAGCAAGGCTGCTGACTTATGTATTACGTATCTAGTCTAAATCATTGATCTCACTGGGAAATCACATGAGCATTTCTAGTATATTTACATCAGATACCTCTCTACAAGATACTCTTGTTTTATTTAGAGGAGACTTTGTCTTACTTAGTTTAGGATCTAGCCATGAACAGGATGCCTTTATGGAACTTGCATACATGAGGGATCACCATGGGAGTGGCATTATGGCCCACTTTAGCAGTTTGTTAGTACTGAGCCCATCTTTTAAGAAATTATTCTAAGCATGTTTTCCTGCTTTGATTTTAAAAAAGTATATTACTGGTAATAAACATTCAGTAATTTGAGAGGGCGTAATTAATCTTTCCCTGTTTTCTAGTGACAACTCTTCCTCTGGTAGCAGCTTATTTAAAACTCAGTATGTTCCTGTTCCACCTAAACAGAAGCAAAGAAACACTGTTAGAAAATTCGTTCACATACCCAAAAGTACTCAAGCAACAGAGTCATCTAGTGACTCATCTATAGAGCCAAGACCACTGACTTTAAAGGCTATTTTTGAAAGATTCAAAAATAAGAAATATAAACGTAAAAAGAAGAAATACAAGCCAACGGGAAGATCAGCAGGAAGACCAAAAGGAAGGAGAACCACTAGATTCTCACAAATTACTGAGGAACAATTTAAAGACAAAAGACCTGGTTTCCCATTTTTAGAATCAGAAAATGGAAGAAAACCATTACCTTGGAGAAAAATTTTAACCTTTGAGGTAATTATTTATATATGCTTATACACAGCTTCAATGTGTGAAATGAGTTGTTGGGTCACTTCGAATTTAGGTAACATCTGGAGCGTGCAATTTGCAACTCTGATAATACTTCTTTATCCTGACTATACTGCCAGTTAAATGCCACCTCCATCCTTCAGTTCAAAGTTGTACTTGGGCTTGTATGTATATGGTAAACATATACAAGATTTATGCTTGTTGTGCTTGTTTTTCTTGGTGTACTAACTTTGGTAACTTGCTCGGTAGAACAGTGAATTCTTTATCTAAGCAGTGTTGGATAGAGGTGATTGCCATATGGCAGAGCTAGGGCTTCCTTGTTATTTTAGAACATAAGCATCTATCTGCTAAGTTGTGGCAGAAAAAAAATTTTTTTCCAAGTCCGTGACTTACAATAGGATGTTCTGGTGTATAGCAAGCAGTGGCAAGAGGATTTTTTAACTACCTTGAAAAACTGAAGTATGAATACTACCTCAAGGAATCCTTGAAGCAGATGAATGTTGCTGAAGATTTAGAAAAAGAAGACTTTGATAGTCGAAGATACAGATACTTGGATGATGATGGATCTCTCTCTCCTATTGAAGAGTCAGCGTAAGTTCAGACACTGGAACAATTTTGAACATTGTTGGGCTTTTAAATTTTAATGTCGCTCCACATTATATCAGTTTGTTTTGATTTTAATAGTTTTAATGTTTAAAATTCATATTAGAAGTTCAGTTCATGTCTGACTCTTTGGGACTTCACAGACTGCAGCATGCCAGGCTTCCTTGTCCATCACCAGCTCCCAGAGCTTGCTCAAACTAATGTCCATCCAGTCAATGATGCCATCCAACCATCTCACCATCTGTCATCCCCTTCTCTTGCCTTCAGTCTTTCCTAGCATCAGGGTCTTTCTCCAAGGAGTTGGTTCTTTACATCAGGTGGCCAAAATATTGGAGTTTCAGCTTGAGCATTGGTCCTTCCAAGGAATATTCAGGACTGATTTCCTTCAGGATTGACTGGTTGGATCTCCCTGCAGTCTAAGGGGCTCTGAAGAGTCTTCTCCAACACCACAGTTCAAAAGCTTCAATTCTTCAGTGCTCAGCTTTCTTTATGGTCACTCACATCCATACACAACTACTGGAAAAACCATAGGTTTGACTAGACGAACCTTTATCGACAAAGTAACATCTCTGCTTTTTAATATGCTGTCTAGGTTGCTCATGGCTTTTCTTCCAGGGAGCAAGCATCTATTAATTTTATGGCTGCAGTCATCATCTGCAGTCATTTTGGAGCCCAAGAAAATAGTCTGTCCCTGTTTCCATTGTTTCCCCATCTACTTGCCCTGAAGTGATGGGACCAGGTGCCATGATCTTAGTTTTCTGAATTTTAAGTTTAAAGCCAGCTTTTCCACTCTCCTCTTGCACTTTCATCAAGAGGCTCTTTAGTTCTTCTTTGCTTTCTGCCATAAGGGTGGTGTCATCTGCATATCTGAAGTAATTGATATTTCTCCTGGTAATCTTGATTCTAGCTTATGCTTCATCCAGCCTGGCATTTCTCATGATGCACTCTGCATATAAGTTAAATAAGCAGGGTGACAATATACAGCCTTGACACACTCCTTTCCAGTTTGGAACCAGTCTTGTTCCATGTCCAGTTCTAACTGTTGCTTCTTGACCTGCATACAGATTTCTCAGGAGAAATTAATTAATAATTAAGGATTAAATGTTACTTAATATTAAATATTCATACTTAATATTTAATAGTGATATAACTGGTATTGCTGATTCAGTTGTATGTCATAACAGTATGCTATGAATTTACTGTCATCTGAGTAATAATGTTTTTAATATTGCAGCACAGAGGAGGAGATTGCAGCAAACCTTGAACATGATGAATGTGATATTAAGTTGGTGGTAAGTGACATTTTTATTCCATTTTGTTTTGGGAGGGCAGGAGTTGACAAAGGGAGATTTTTATCCTGTAGTGTTACTGTCGAATTTTAGAAAGGCTCAATGCCCTTGGTGCAAGAAATGTGAGGATAAAAATGAGAATTTTATAGATAATTGAGAACATCAATTAGCAGTACTGTGTCAATGGTATTGTAAATTTTAATGTGTTTTATTGTTACTAGGATATCAAATGAGAAAAAAATCCAAGTGTAATTTTCAGCTTATTTTAAGTAACATAGTTGTATGTAATTACTAGTGCAGTAAAATTGGTTATATGTCTTACCAATACTTCCTATGCAGGAGAATAGTTGTTTCATAATAAGTTCTGAATTTCCAAAGAAGAATGTATATTTGGATCAAGAGGAATATACTGAAGAAACTGCTTTGCTTAAAAAGAGAACATCAAAATCTAAACACTGGACAGAGGACAAAATGGGCTAAAGAGAGACAGGATTATAAATACCAGACAAGGTAAACAGAATAAAAGCGAAGATGATAAGTATGAATATATATGCCAGCCTTAGAAAAAAAAAAAAACCCTGTAAGAAAATAAAGAATACTTCAAACAGATTTGTGAAACTCCTGAAGTAGTAATTATCATAAAAATTATGTAGAAAAAATTTGAGGCTGTTAACAGCAGAGACTGACTTGACAAATAATAAACAAAAGTCATTCTGTTTTTGCCTATGATGGTTTATTTCTAGGTAAGAGAACTTAAAAGGTACCATTTGAGCACTGAATCAAATAACAGATTATAATCTTGAAAAGTTTGCATAAACTGATTTTTTTTTTCTCAGCTACTCTCCTTACTGTACCTACAACTTCCTGTTTTTGTTTTACTTAGACAAGTTTAGTGTGAAATGCTGAGTACTGTAATAATTTTCCCTTCCTAACTACCTGTATTTCAATATCATTTCATCCCCACTGTATGTAATACATTTTACAGTAGCACTTGTGTTTGTTTTTGTTTAATTTGTGGACAAAAACTTACAGACAAGTGCGAAAGTAAGTCCTCTTTTGCAACCCACAACTCATTGTTCAGTATGAGTTTTGATACAGATAAGAAGGAACATGATCCATAAAATGGGTGTGTATTGATGAGCATAAAGATTGCTTCCAGGGCTATAAAGTTAAATAAGCTTTTAAATTACCAGCTGTATTGATCCTAGTACTCAGTTTTAATGTTGACATAAAACAAACAAAGATGGGCTCCTTTTTTTAGGCTTTTATCTTCGGAATACAGTGTCTGGATTTTCCAAAGGTATGTCTGATGCTTTAGGTGAGTTTGGTTCAGATTTGTGTAAATATGATACATTGTCAGAATTTCTCCAGAGGTTTATTTTTGAAAGGCATTTTTGCCAACTTAAATTTCTATTCATTATGTAATTTCAGAAAATGAATCTCGGGATTGGCATGTTTTATAGTGACAATGTGCCGGCTTTACTTTGCTTGCAGGAAAGGGTCCTAGAACTATAAGCTATCAGAATCTTGGCTATCCCCTCTTGAAGCATATGTATTTTTAATCTCCTAACACCCTCTATATAATTTATTTTAAAAAATTTTATTGAAGTATAGTTGATTTACAGTGCTAATTTCTGCTGTACAACAAAGTGACTCAGTTATATGATTTTTCTTTTTCTTTTTATTTATTTTTATGATCTATTACAGAATATTAATTCCCTGTGCTATATATAGTAAGCACTTGTTTATCTTATGAATTTGTATCTACTAATTCCCAAGTTCCCAGTCCATGGCTCCCCCACACCCCCATCTCCTGTCCAACCACAAGTCCATATCTGATTCCACATATAAATGATACCTGTTTCTGACTTAGTTTGCTTTGTATATCACTAGGTCCATCCATGTTGCTGCAAATGGCATCATTTTCATATTAATGGCTGAGTAATATACACACCCCTCCCACACATCTTTTATCAGTTCATCTCTGGACATTTATGTTGGTTCCGTATCTTGGAACAGTGCTGTAGTGAACACAGATGCCTGTATCCTTTCTAACCATATTTTTCTTTGCGTGGGATTGCTCATCATATGGTAACTCTACTGTTTTCTGTAGTGGCAGTACCAATTTACATTCTCACCAACAATATAGGAGAAGGTTCCTTTTTTTTTCTCCAACACACTCTCTGGCATTTATTTGTAGACTTAAATGATGGCCATTCTGACCAATGTGAGATGGTACCTGCTTACAGTTTTGATTTGCATTTCTCTAATAGTGATGTTGAACATAGAACCCACACCCCCTGCAGTGGAAGTGCTGAGTCTTAACCAGTAAACCACCAGGGAAGTCCCACAATTAAGGGATGCATATACTAAAATGAAGTAGAAAATTTAATAGTGCAATGCTAGAAATGACTACACAGGACATATAATTTCATAAATCTGAATGATACACAAATGCCAAGTGATCCTCAGTGATCCCCAAATGGTCAGAACATCAGACATATTAACATTCTGTATTTTCATAATTGTTATCAATGAGAATATTTTATATTATAGTTCTCAATTTAAAGCCAAAAATTCATTTAAATAGTTCTGCAGTAATGTGGGCACTGCAAGGTTAAACACATTGTAGTAATAAAGTTCTTAATAATCAAGCTTAAATTTACATATGCAATTTTTTGGTTCAGCTGTAATAGTTACTTGATACTTTATACTATCTTCCCTAAGCATTGATTTAAAACTACATATCATGTGATTAATTCATGGTATTATTTCTTTAATTTAAACAATGATTAAGCAACAGTTGAGGTCTATCCCGATGGGGCTTTTTCTGTAAACCTACGTCGTTGGAAACGCCTCATAGAGTAACCATGTAGTTTCCTTTACTCATAGAACTACCTGTTAGATCTGTGGGAAAGAACTACAAGACAGAGCTGCCAATTAAACTATGAAAAACCTAACAATTTTTTTTTATCTTAGGTATTGGCATATCCCAATGATCTCTGTCAAGTTTTAGGGTGTGATAACTTGGGTAAGTTTTTAGTTAGTGACTAGAATTTGGGGGGGGTTACCATTCCAGTTCAGATGATGAATTTAATGTTCAACTGCTGAATGATACAGATATGAATTAAAACTTAATTCTGATAGAGCTGAGTATAACAAAATATTTAAGTAAGCATATATTTAAGTTTTTGTTTTTTAATCATGAGTAAGTAACCCATAATCTTTTATTTGGTATCTGCAGGAATTAATATTATTTGAACTTTAAGCTTTTAGAGGTAAGTAGAATATTTAATTTCTATTCCAATAGGATTCAGAAGTTCTGAAAACAATGTAAATTTTGAGTATGGCATTCCATTACTATTGTGACTGCTAGTTATTTAGGTGTAAAACAATTATCAAGATTTTGGCCAAAAATTTGCTGCAATATTTGTACTTACAGATTTGGAAAAAAATGAAGACAGCATGTGTAGGACATGGAAATGCCCTGGTCCCTTGCACCTTTTATTAAAGTAGCATGTAAATATCAAGTATGATTGGATAGTTTCCTATGTAAGTTTTATAGGTATAGAGAGGGTAAAAAGGTAATACTAAGTTTATAGTTTAAGATAAGAGTTAATGTAGTTGCCTTGCTGGAATGACAAATAGGAAAAAATTACATGTTAAAAAATTTTAGAGGTCTGTGTGTAAGTAAGTTTCTCAGAGTATCATTACAGAATGAGGTTGGGGTGGTTCCAGTTCAATCATAACTGCACTGCATGGTATCTGCATTCAGCAGTTTGTTCCTGCTGGCTGTTCAAAAGACAGTGCGATATAAATTCAGTATCTGGCATCGTTGGTTTCTTTGCTTTGTGCATGTCAGACCTGGTATTTCTACTGATACAGTATCCTTTTAGTTTCTTATACTGTTCAGTTTGACATAATCTTCAATAGTAACTAATACTTTTTTTTTTCTATGGTTGTCATGAAGAACTAGACATCCCATCTCCTGACCCTAAACAGGTATTTCGCTTTTCACTTTCTGCAGTTTTCCTTTACTGATAGCATGCTTAGCAAAACAGTGGAACTTCTATACAGGTGCTACTGCTGCAGTCATGTCTGACTGTGCGACCCCATAGACGGCAGCCCACCAGGCTCCCCCATCCCTGGGATTCTCCAGGCAAGAACACTGGAGTGGGTTGCCATTTCCTTCTCCAATGCATGAAAAAGTGTGCTCAGTTGTGTCCAACTCTTATAGACTGGAGCTGTACAGGTGCAGAAGAAGCCTTTTGCACATTCTCTTAAACTTGGGAAACTTATGTATAAAGCCTCATTCTACTGAAAATGGGCACTTGTTAATGGTGTTCATAAACTGTTAATGTGGCTACATTGAGAACACAGGTTTTGCTTCCATCCCTGTAGTTTTATTGCAGTGGTGACAATGAGACCTGTAACATTTTTGCTAGGCTTGTGAGTAAAACCTGGATATAATATGGCTTCAATATTAGGAAAGATGAAGGGATAAACACCAATGTACTTGCTATATTTAACTTCTAGGATCCTATAGTGAACTGCTTGAGGAAATTGGATCTTAAAGATTATAGGTAAGATTTTCATTTCCTTGTATTTAATGAAAAAAACTACGTTTAAACAGCCCATTGGGTGTTTTTTTTACTGTTTTTTCAGTGATGTTATGATGATGGGCAAATTGTTCAACTGCTCTGAATAGGCTGAGTGAAAATAGCCTTTCTGAACATCCATATTAAAACTATATTTTAAAACATGAAAGCTCTAAGATTAAAGTTGCCTGAAGACATGTATGTTTCGCAACAAAGCTTAGGTATGAATGAAAATGGAACCGAATCAGTCCCAGTTATTAAAATACTTTTCTGTAGGTGGCAAACTTTGAAGTGCTCTCCATTGAAGATCAAAGAGGCCCAACTAAAACAGCTGTGGCAAGTAATTTGTTTTATCTGTCAGGTTTTGATGGTCATTACCAAGGCTTTTAGAATGCAGTTTCTCATTTGCTGTGGACATGACCGTAAAACAAAGTCCCAACTAGGTTTTTCTTCCTGCTACTTTGTTAGCATTCAGCCTGTTGGGAACATTTTATTAGCTTTTAATTAACACTTATGAAGGTCAGCACTGTTCTAGTACCCAGACATTGCTAGTCTATGCCTAGCATGGAACAGTCTGTGCCTAGATTTCTGGAGTTGTTTTCTAGTTTACTGGGGTAGCTGGCTTCAGAACTTTACATGAGCATCTATGAAAACGAAACCTGAAATATTTCTGTTATACAGGCATCACAGCTGTGGACTGAGCAGAACTTTTTGTAAGGTATGTACTGAGCAGAACTTTTTGTAAGGTATGTACACATTAGAGAAAATAATTTCTGTAGGTCATTTCAAAGAGGGCTGATGGGACCAAATCCTGGAGCCCTTAACGCTGTGACCAAAGATCGAGTTCTCCATTGGATATAATAGTCACTCAATAGTGCTGTGTTTTCCTGATGGAGATACAAGCCACTCATATCCATGACTGGTGATGTGGGAAAGTAAAATGTAAATGTCTTCCAAATTTAACCAAATTTAACTCTTCTTCAGGGCTGCCTTGAAGATGACAACTTTGGAGGAACTATGGTGACTGGCAGTGGAAAGAATCAGGACGTGTGAAAAATCCTTAAAAATTTATTGACTCAAATAACTTTGCCTATGTTATGAATAAAAAGAAACCTTTGTGCAGAAAGTCAGCATGTATTTTTGGCTTGAAGCTTCTCTAATGTTTTCTGTGGAGGAAATAATATCAGTTATTAATATTAGGCTCTGATGTGCCTTAGACATGAAAACTTGGGGGTATGCACGGGATGCTGCTTACCTTATGAAATTCTTTTGTCCTTGCTCTGCTTTGGGCATGTACATCTTGCTTTGCTTTCTCTTCCTTCTGCTTTTTCATTTCAGCTAATGGAAGGTATAATCTATAAGAAATTTGTATGGAATTAAAGACGGACACTTCAGGTACGTGTTTAGTCACTAAATTTGCATCTGACTATGCAACCCCATGAATCCCCAAGGGATTTCCCATGGCGTGGGTTGCCATTCCTTTGTCCATCAGATACATATAAATCCATATACATACCCTAGTGCCCTTTGGTGTGTATGGGGTTGTGCAGTCTTTTTATCTTCAGGAAGAGACACCTTAACTTGACTCATACCCTTTAGGTGACTTACAAATGAACCTGAGTGGAGAACAAGCCACTGAGTAAAACATGTAATGCCACTGAGTAAAACCACTAAGTAAATACATAGTTCGCTCTGATAACAGATACCTGTAGTTTTCTCCATTATTGTTTTGGTTTGAGAATTTCCAGAGGCGTGAACTTTATCCTTTATCTCTTTCTGTCTCTGTGAGGATCTCTCTATAAATGCCTTTTTTCTTTTTATGAATGCTTCCTGTAAGCTCTCTGGTGCAGCTGTACACCTTGAAAAGGTTTCTGTTTAAAAGTTTTTTTTTTTTTTAATTATGTATGTCAGCAGTATACAAATTCAAGTTCTCATGAATGGGTGTGGGTTCACCAATCTGATGCACATACCTGCACACACAGTTGGTTTCTCCAGTGGATGTTCTGACATAGCTGGATAATCTGAGTTTTCTGTTTCTGACACAAGAGGCAGAAACTCACTCACCTAATTGCAAGAAAGTCATAGAAAACTTTACCACTTCAGAGAAGACTTTTACAGACTTAAAGGCTCTAAACTTAAACCCCAGTTCTTTTGGAACTGCCTTTCAGAAAATTCAGTTAATTCAAAAATAACTTGAAGACTAAATTTTCTAGAAAGGATGAGTCAAGCAAGAACTGAAAAATGTAAAGGAAAACTTACAAAGCAATAGCACGTAGTTAGTGGCTGGATCCACTGATCACAGCCTTGTGAATGATAGGCTCAATGAAACTGAGCCATGCCCTCTAGCGCCACCCAAGATGGACAGGTCATGGTGGAGAGTTCTGAAAGACCGTGACTGGAGAAGCTTAAACAGTATGAAAAGGCAAAACAATACAACACTGAAAGGTGGAACTCCTCAGGTCAACAGAAGAGACGGAGCCAAAGTGAAAACAGTGGTAGGATGTGGCTGGTGATGGTCCAAAACTGCATAGGAACCTGGAATGTTAGGTCATGAATCGAGACAAACTGGAAGTGGCAAGAGTGAACATCAACATTTTAGGAATCTAAATGGATTAAAATGGACTGGAATGAGTAAATTTAACTCATGACCATTATATCAACTACTGTGGGCAAGAATCCCTTAGAAGCGGCCCTCATAGTCTGCAAGAGTCCGAAATGCAGTATTTGAGTGCAATCTCAAACAGAAGGATCTTTGTTTCCAAAGGAAATCATTGACTATCACAGTAATAACAAGTCTATGCTCCAAACAATAATGCCAAAGAAGCTGAAGTTGAACAGTTCTATGATGACCTACAAGACCTTCTAGAACGAACACCCCAAAAAGATGTCCTTTTCATCATAGGGGACTGGAATGCAAAAGTAGGAAGTCAAGAGATACCTGGAGTAATGGGCAAGTTTCATTTTGGAGTACCAGCAGCAGGGCAAAGCCTAACACTTTTGTTTAGAGCACACAGCAAACTTCCCTCATAGCTCCTGCAATGCAGGAGACCTGGGTTCAATTCCTGGGTTGGGAAGATCCTCTAAAGAAGGAAATGGCAATCCACTCCAGTATTCTTGCCTGGAGAATCCCATGGATAGAGGAGCCTGGCAGGCTGTGGGGTTGCCACCACCACCACCACCACACAGCAAACACTCTTCAACCCTAAGCCTACACAGGAGATGACTCTACACATGGACATCACCAGATGGTCAGTAACAAAATCAGACTGATACCCATCTTCAGCTTCAAAGAATATAGTCAGCAAAAACAAGACAGGAGTTGACTGTAGCTCAGATCATGAACTCCTTATTGCCAAATTCAGACTTAAATTGAAGTAAGTAGGAATATCACTAGAACCCACTAAATCAAATCCCTTGATGATTATACAATGGAAGTGACAAGTGGATTCAAGGGATTAGATCTGATAGTGCCTTACAGAGATAGAAGAGAAGAGAAAAGCAAAGGAAAAAAGGAAAGATACACTCATCTGAATGCAGAATTCCAAAGAATAGCAAGGAGAGGTAAAGCCTTCCTAACAGATCAATGCAAAGAAACAGACGAAACCAACAGAATGAAAAAGAGCTCTTCAAGAAAATTAGAGCTACCAAGGGAACATTTCATGCCAAGATGGGCACAATACAGGACAGAAAACAGTATGGACCTAACAGAAGCAGAAGATATTAAGAAGAGGTGGCAAGAATACACAGAACTGTACAGAAAAGATCATGACCCAGATAATCACAATGGTGTGATCACTCACCCACAGGCAACCACTCTGGAGTGCAAAGTCAAGTGAGTCTTATGAAGCATCACAAACAAAGCTAGTGGAGGTGATGGAATTCCAGGTTGAGCTATTTCAAAATCCTAAAACATGCTCTTAAAGTGATGCACTCAATATGCCAGCAAATTTGGAAAACTCAGCAGTGGACACAGGACTGGAAACAGTAAATTTTCATTCCAATCCCAAAGAAAGCCAATGCCAAAGAATGTTCAAACTACAGCACAATTGCACTCATCTCATGCTAGCAAAGTAAAGTGAAGTTGCTCAGTCTTTGTGACCCCATGGACCATCTACGCCAACAGTTAAGTCTAATGCTAGCAAATTAATGCTCAAAATTCTCCAAGCAAGGCTTCAACAGTACACGAACAGAGAATTTCCAGATGTTTAAGCTGGATTTAGAAAAGGCAGAGGAGCCAGAGGTAGAATTGCCAACATCCACTGGAGAAGGAAATGGCAACCCACTCTGGTATTCTTGCCTGGAAAATCCCATGGACAGAGGAGCCTGAAAGGCTGCAGTTCATGGGGTCGCAAAGAATTGGACACGACTGAGGGACTTCATGTCACTTCACTGGATCATAGAAGAAACGAGAGTTCCAGAAAAATATCTGCTTTATCAACTATGCCAAAGCCTTTGACTCTGTGGATCACAATAAACTTGTGTACAATTCTTCAAGAGATGGGAATACCACACCACCTAATCTTCCTCCTGAAAATCAAGTTAAAACTGGACATGGAACAATGGACTGGTTCCAAATTGGGAAAGGAGTACTTCAAGGCTGTATATTGTTACCCTGCTTATTTAACTTATATGCAGAGTACATCATGCGAAATGCCAGTCTAGATGAAGCATAAGATGGAATCAAGATTGCCGGGAGAAATATCAATAACTTCAGCTGTGCAGATGACACCACCCTTATGGCAGAAAGTGAAGAGGATATGAAGAGCTGCTTGATGAAGGTGAAAGAGGAGGGTGAAAAAGCTTTTAAAACTCAACATTCAAAAAACAAAGATCATGGCATCCAGTCCTATCACTTAATGGGAAATAGATGGGGAAACAATGGAAACAGACTTGATTTTCTTGGGCTCCAAAATCCCCTTGGATGGTAACTGCAGCCATGAAATTAAGATGTTTGCTCCTTGGAAGAAAAGCTATGACCAATCTAGACAGCATACTAAAAAGCAGAGACATTATTTTGCTGACAAAGGTCTGTCTAGTCAAAGCTATGGTTTTTCCGGTAATGTATGGATGTGACAGTTGGACTATAAAGAAAGCTGAAGAATTGATGCTTTTGTACTGTGGTGTTGGAGAAGACTCTTGAAAGTCCCGTGGACTGCAAGGAGATTCAACCAGTCCATCCTAAAGGAAATCAGTCCTGAATATTCATTGGAAGGACTGATGCTGAAGCTTGACTACTTTGGCCACCTGATGCAAAGAACAGACTTGCTGGAAAAGACTGAAGCTGATGCTGGGCAAGACTGAAGGCTAGAGAAGGGGATGACTGAGGACAAGTTGGTTTTATGACATCACCAACTCAATGGGCATGAGTTTGAGCACGCTCCAGGAGTTGGTTTAATGACAAGGAAGCCTGGCGTGCTGCAGTCCATGGGGTCACAAAGAGTCAGACATGACTGAGTGACTAAACTGATTAGCACTGTTTTGTACCATGTAGTTGTGCTTCCCTGATAGCTCAGCTGGTGAAGAATCTGCCTGCAATGCAGGAGACCCTGGTTCGATTCCTGGGTTAGGAAGTTTATGTGGAGATGGGATAGGCTACCCACTCCAGTGTTCTTGCCTAGAGAGAAGAGTCTGTCCTCAAGGACAGAGGAGCCTGGTGGGAGTTGCTCAGAGGCAGACATGACTGAAGGACTAAGCACCAGCAGCAGTAGCCCTATCAGTTTACCCACTGTCAGTTTCCTACTGTCAGCACATTCAAACATGATACTGTAAGAAGAAATGCCATGTACAAATCAAGGTAACCCTTATCCCCTACATTTCAACAATGGGTTGCTATATAATTAAGGTTTATTAATGAGAGCTGTGAAATTTACCTGAAAACAGCTCTTTGCCTCATTTTCTCTCTTTTCTTCTAGAGTTAAGTTTGCAAAATCCATTTCAGCAATACTGACATCACTGGTGCTTGTCAATGTAAGTTCTGGTTCTTCCATTATACCATGGCCAGATTCTGTTTCCTGTTTAACAAAAGGGAAACCACATTCAACTATGGACAACAGAGAAGGTCTACTCCATATATTATAAAGCCAAATGCTTACAGGACTAGGTGGCCAGAGTGAGTAGGGGCTGTACAGAA